ACATTGCCACAAAATAAATTAAGCACAACTGCCTAAATCTCTATCTGTCTCTATCGATGGTAGGAGGTCGCCAATTTCATGTAAATTTCAAGGACTTGTCTTGATCTTGTTTTATTTAAATCAAGACAAGAACAAAAGAAGATGATTGACTCCATTTCATTCAGTTTAAATTATTAAAATTTTTGCTTTTGAATCCCTGAATTGATGAACATTAATTAGGCTTCTTACAGAATCGACGTCTAATCGATTTATAGATTTAACAATAGTATACCCTCAGTACCCTCATCGTATCGTATCGTTGCTGGTGTTCCCAGAAAGACTTGGGTCATTTTTGACATAACGAGATAAATATTTTGATGTCGTTTCCACCAGTCCAGTATATTCTCCTCAGAACTATTTTTTCGGGGTTCCTAAAAATATTCTTTTTTTTTTTGCTACCACGTCTACAGGGTGTCCCAGAACTCGCGCCACATAAAAGAAGAGAAAATTCCGAAAGTTATGGGAAACACATACTTGAAAATTCAAAGATAAGTGAGATAAGAATAAATAACGATAGCCAATCCCAATACATGGGGAAGTCTTTAAATTGCTACACTGAGAAAAATTATGTTGTTAATTTAACACTTACGGACATGCATGTTATTTTATTATTTTTGTTATGTTTGTTTTTGTTATTTTATTATTTTTGTTAAATTAAAAATTATTTTTTTGAAACTAATAAAAAAGAAATCTTAAACAAACAATCAGAAGTTGTTATACAAGAGAGCTTATAAAGATTTTATTCATTAATTTAATGTCTGAAGTTCAGACTCTGAACTGCATTTATTGAAATCTTTGTACATTTTTGTAGTAATAAAAATGTATATTCAAAAACTTTACGAGTTTAATTTAAAAAACTGTGGGTAACATTTTGAGATTTTTAAATAAAACAATTATGCACATTGTTCGTATTGAATGTGCAAAAAACTGTTTAGTTAATAATTAAAACATTGAAATAAGAGTTTTAATTTTAAACGTTTTATTTTGCACGAAAGGCAGGTCTACAGTTTGCTTAGAATTAGGGTTACCAGATTCTGTCAAAAAAAATAGGGACATTTTGTGTGAATTAACCTTAACTACAAAAATGACACAATCAACAATAATTAAGTAACGTCAAACTTACAATTTGCATTGTATCATTATGTCAATTTTGTAATTAAGATTTTTTTGACAGAATCTGGTAACCCTAGTTAGAATGTATCTTGTATGGCTTACGGTTTACGTCAACCAATCAAAGTGCTTAAAATGGACATATCAAGCACTGTGATTGGTTGACGTAAACGTAAGCCGTACATTCTGCAAATTGTAGACCGGACTTAAAACTAACCACCGCACTCTTATTTAAAGAGGGTAAAATGCGATATCGAATGAAGACAGATTTACCGTTGCATCAAGAAATTTCAAGTTTTTCAAGATTCAAGGAAACAGTCAAGAGAAGATTCTTGCTATTTCTTGACTTTTTTAAGACAAGACAAGTAGTTTACTTCAATACAAAATGTCTGTCTTGTCAACACCTTCTATATTCTTTAAAGTTTGTTCCGCAATATGGAGGTTTTTTATATTTTGAGGGATCTAGGTTAAAAAAATATTTGTAACTAAAAAAATGCATACTTTGTATTTCTTCTCGACTTCATTAAAACTCGGCCAACAAAGAAGATTAATTTAAACTATGTGACAACAAAATTTAATGGAATCTGTCGAAAACAAACAAGTATGTTTACGTGCAAAGTTATTTAAAACGTTACCTTTAAACGCATACAATGTTAAACTCGGCGATATTTTGTCACTCAGGTAAAAAAACGCCATCTTCGCGGACAAGTTTTTCTACCTACGTACATTTCTACCTTCCAAGTATTCATTTGTGCACAAATGCACCTCTAATTTTAAGGATTATTGAATGCGGGGTTGTGTACCCATTCAAGTGCAGTCTGCAGACCCATTATATTTACCTATTATACTTAGGTATTGCTCACGATTACCCCGTCAAACCGATTTCTATGAATTGAATTTGTCTAGGTAAAATAACGCGAAACTAATTCATTGCAGGGGATCAAGATATTGTTTTTTTCTTTCAACCAATCACAAAAACGGACAAATCATACATTTTTTAACTTCAACAAAGATAATTGCTCATTTTTTAAATGTATATTCTAAATTTCTAATTTCTCATGATTTTATTATATCAAAGTTTTTACATCTGATTTTTGTGATTGTCGTTGTTAAGGAATTTCTTTATGTGGATTTTATTACTCTTAACCTTTTGAAGTTAACTGACAAGAATTAAATCTTTTTTCGTAAAATCTGGGTTAAATTAACTTATACCCTAAAGCACAATGGATTGTGCGCCAAAGCCTTATGAATTATTAAAAGCGTTTATTGAGAAAGTCGTCACTTAACAGTAAAAGATCAAAAACGGGTATTATATTATGTGTTATGTGTTACATTCAATGGGTAAATTTTGACAATGTTTACACTGACTAGCTAATGTACGCAATAACTGATTTTCTTACGTAAATGTATTCAGCACATTAACTTACTTACATACATAAACTAAAACTAGCCAACCCAACTCACAAAACCAACTAACCCAACCAAGCAACCTCACCCACAAAACCAACCAACAGTACCTAAATGTACTCATTTACTAGTAAAAGTACAGATATTTATATTTGTTTCATACTTTTACTAACATTCACGATGCTTGTAATAAATGTCAAAAATGACAAATTGTCGAATATGGAATTGACTATATCTCAAAAACTGCTCTACTTTCATAATTTTTGACGGTATTTTCAGATTCAGAGGACAATTTTACATAAGAATTGGCTGTTAGATGTTGGGATACCATGGTATCCCATGGTATAAGTGAAAAAGCATCCACTAATAACTCAAAAATGACTAATTCATTTTTAGAGAGTGCATTCCCTACTAAATGTATGCATTTACTAGTAAAAGTACAATTTTACTAGTAAAAGTACACTTTTACTAATTTTTCACGTAAATTATTATTAATATACATCTACTGAAATGTATATGTACTTTGATTGTGACATATATAATATTATGTTGCCATGAATTCGTAGATATTTTTGTCTATTACTATTTAAAATGCAGTTGTCGGCATTTTTTAGAGGACTCAAAAATAAAAATGTTTGATTTTAAGGTTATGTTTGTCTAAGTATTATTTTGTGTTAGATTTCTTAAAAATGTCCAAACTTAAATATAAATTATATTAGGTAAAGTTATCAGTAGTTAATTCTGCACCTATTTGTATACAAATATACATACCGAATCATTTGGCAAAACATGAAAATGCAATTTCGAATTAGTTCTTAAATTACCAACATTTACAATTAAAAACACAATATTTCACCAGGATTACTTAGATAAAATACCCACACGAAAGTATAAATTTAAGCGTATAAAGAATAATAAATCTAAATCGAGTACTAAAACGAAATTTGAAGAAATTTATGGTTAAAGGTCATAATAATAATAATAATAATAAACTTATTAATCCTTTTGACTACAAAACAGAGTATAGGACAAGTCAACAATAATTTCACAAAAGAATGTAATATAAATACCGGCATGATACAGGTATTAAATAATGAACAGTAATAAAAAACATAAACAAATATATTTGTTTATGTTTTTTATTATAATGAATAAATAACATAAACACTTAACGAAATGCATTGATTCAAATAATAAATAGATAAAATAGATATTAAATAGCATACATTTGAAATTTTTTAATTGAATAAAAAGCATTTGTTATTAACAACTCTTTTACACAGTTACAAAATCTCTTCAGTTGTAAATCTTTTCACTCAGCTGGATATATATTATATATGTAGGTATATTATATAGTACTGGACCCATGTATAATGGATGTAATTTGAACATGCTCTATGACGATCATGTTGCAAATTGAAACCATATCTTGTCATATATTAATGTTTAAGGATTTAAATTTGTCTATATTATTCCTTAAAAACTTTTTAAAGATTTTTAATAGGTAAATACATGTATTTAATACGTGTACCCTGCAGGGTACAGTTAAAACACATTCATTAATAAAAAAAAATTACAAGATTCATTAAAACTTAGAGTTCCCCTTAGACATTTTGTAGATTCGGGCCTGAAAAAATAGTGAAATTTACAAAAAAACAAGTACTAATTCTATAATCTTATAGAAGAAACCAGTTTTGTCTTTACCTAGGGCTATACATCAGTTCGATTTTTTACTTCGCACCTTGTGATAAAATTATCGCTCTATACCATAAGAATAGAATTCATAAGCTAAATTTGAAAATTTTATTTAATATCATTACTTTAATTACACCCTATAGCATATTTAAAAAAAGCTCGCCCCACTAAAACTTGTTGACACAAAAATGCAACTTTCAATGCATAAACCGAATTCGGCCGAACATTAAAACTTTTATATTTCAATAAAAAAAATACAAAATACCGCATTGCATATGAATGAATGATATGAATGAACGTAGTAAACGTAGAGTAAAACTACAAAACAAATAAAAAGCCCAACTTCATTCCATCTCTCTTGATGCAGCGCCGCTCTTTCTCTATTTGTGGTATATTTCTTATTCGTTTTGTTGCTCGAATATATAAATATGAAAAAGAGAGATGGCAATAGCACGTCGACGCCAGAGCATTTGCCCCATTAAATATTCATGTAATAATTCATTTTATGCCGAGCCATTCATTCATTTAATTGTACAATATTTAAGCTTAAACGATTGGCTTTTAATCATTAAATTATCATCACATTTATGAGCTCAATTATTCAGTTTAATAAAGCTTTAACAAGTATTACATTAAGGTATTTTTTTTCTTATTATATTTTTATTTGTAAATATTTACCTTATTAGGGGATTTGTTTGACCTGAAATATTAAATGGGGTAATATTGAAAAAAGAGGCATGGGTACAGTCCAGAAATTTATTAATTTCGTATAAAAATATTCATGTATTTTTACAACAATGTACAAATAACACCTTGTTCAAAATTTCGAAATAATAAAAATAATATCACTTAAGTACAAAACTCTAAAACTGAAAGAGATCATACGAATATGCACTAATTTGCTAACAATGGCAAATCATTAAAAATTAAACATGTCAATACTTTGGCAAAACATTTAGAGATCCTTTTTTAATAGGAGAATTTTACTTATCTAAAAAAGTCGTATATACAGTAGGTACACTTTTGAGCAGAAATGCAAAACATTTGGCACTATGATATAAAAACTTTTTGCTAAACAAAACATAATATATATAAAATGACTAAAATTATATGTACACGATATATTCTACTAAGTGTGATAGGTAACATTGATTTACAGACAGGACTTTTAAGATTTAATGTAAAATTATAATTAGGCTAAAAATCAGTCTAGAAAATTCTGTCCGTATAAACTTTGTACATAAACTACATAGATAACATACAACTAAAACTATAATTATAAGATTTGGTTTGAAGCTTTTCAACAGCCTTTCGATTAATAAGTTTAATTCAACAACACCCCTTCGTCTCACTTTCTTTTAACTTTGGCTTTGTTTTGGAGGTCTCCGTTCTTCCTGTCCGCTCCGGACTTGATGTTGTTCAAAAGTCCCCGGAATTGCATAATTTGCATGGCGGTCACGGACGGGTCGCTGCACGTTTCCAGCCAGTTGAGGAATTTTTCGCCATGTTCCACGGCCTCGTTTTGACTCAACTCCTCGCCTTTCTTGTTCACCGCAACGTTGTTGTTGTTGTTGAAGAGCAAGTTGTCGAGGACAGAGCGGGCTTTGTTGTTGTTGTTGCTGCTCGCAGTTTTGTTGGCTTTGTTGTCGTCGACGACGACCGATAAGTTCTCGGCGTTCTGGAAATCCTTATCTCTCGTCAGTTGTTGGTACAGAATCGGTTTATCGGGCATGGAGCCGGGCATCTGTTGACCGTACGCGAGCTGTTTGTACCACTTCCAGAACCACGAACTTTGATCTGCGGACACGCCGTTCAGGGGCGAAGTACTGTTCGCCATGCTGGTGATGGGGGCCGACGATGTCGACGAGATCCCGTTTCCATTCGAGCACGGCAACGAGGCTTGATTTTGGTTCAAACCCAACATGGCTTGTTGCGTTTTAAGCCAATACCACACAGACTCTTGTACTGATTGCTGTTTTTCCGGTAACTTCATCTGCGGCTTGTTTTTGTCGGGGCTGTCCACCGTCTTCAACAGACCTCCCGTATTAGCCCCCATGATGTTCGTGCTGGTATCAGCGGGCGCCGTTACCTTCTTGTTCATCAGATTTTTCTGCTGTTGCATTAGCAAGTTGTTCCATTGGGCCAGCAGTCCCATGTTGGCCAGGTCCGTCAGACTGCTCGAGGGGTTGTTCATCGCGGGCAGGAACATTTCCGGTCGGTTCAAGCCGAGTTCTACACTCAAACGCGCCAGCTCGGCCCTGTTTTTCTCCCGTTCCGACATGTGCGGGGCCTTGGGAGTTTCCGCCTTCGCGCTCAGGTTGGAGTTTTTCGACATGTCCAGGTCGCTTTTGCCGTAGTCGGAGTTGGGAGAAAACGTCGCAGAAGCGCCCGGCGGTTTCAGGCTCAAATTGAACGGTTGCATAATCGAATCGTCGAGCTTGATCCTTTTGTCTTTGTGCTCCAACGACTCGTCGGTTTCGGGACTGGATTGTCGGGAGAGATAGGAAATTTTGTCCTCGTTCTTGCACCATCCCCTGAGAGTGGATTCCGGCACGCCGATGTCCCTCGCGACCGAGGCCTTGCTTTCGCCGTCGTGAACGCGACGGATGGCGTCGAGCTTCTCGTGGGCCGTCAGGGACCTCAACGGCCGTTTCCCCGCTTTCGCAGACATTTCTTTCACCGAGCACTAATCAACTATAATTAACACCAAAGTCGCACTTAAATCACATATACGACGACACGATGCGTGCCGGTGAGAGTGAAGAGTTGCACTGACGTCGGTTAGCACGTGGTAATGTTTATATCGAATGTAGGTAGAAAAGTGCGCAGTTCAAAAAGCGGTCGCGTAAAACTTCACAGAAACAAACAAAACTTGCGGGAAAGTTTTGACGAATGCAGCTGATAAGTGGCACACAAACACACAAGTTGTGACGCAGGCGCCGCACTTATGAATTTTTGGCGGCGTTTTTATTCACAACAGTAGCAGTCGGTCGAGTCGGCGTGGCGGTTTGAACGCCGATGCACCACAATTAGCGGAGAAGAGTAGATCCGTGGATGCGGATAGGTCGAGCAGCTAGTGGCAAATAGTTTCTTGCGAGTAAACTGGTGGTCAGTTCCTTTGTCCAGCCGATCAATACTGGCGACGGACGAACGCGAACTGAGCGCAGGGCTAGAGGCAGCAGGGAGGTATATCGCGAATCCCCGCGTGATGGCTTGACGTGACACCCTCCCACCCCCTGTAGGGTCGGTCGTTGGGTCGGACGGTCGCCGTTGCCTGCCTGCCTCCGCCGCTTCTGCTTCCAAGTTCCGACGAGGGATACAACACTTGCGCGAAGACGCGTTCACGCACACCGAATTGCCGAGATTCGCGTGCTACCGGCCCGAGTCACGTGTTTTTACCAGCTGACACTCCACCGAACCCTCCACCCTCCGCCTCATCCGCTTTCTCACCCCACCCCTCACCAACCGCCAACGTCTTCTTTCTTCCAAAAACTTATCTTTTAATCACTCTCCCCACGTACGCCACTCACATCGAAACGCACTTTTTACATCTACATACATATATGATATATGATATATGATATATCTATGTTTACCAAAACAATTGCCTGCGGAATGCAAAGTTTTTTGTTTTTTACCATTGTAATATTTATTGCCTTTCACGCATTTAATCATTTTTATATTTAAGCCTTTTGCAAAACTTTTTTTTCCAAATACATTTCTGGATATGGGCATTTCCATTGTAACGGGTGCAACACTAAAAATACCTTTTTTCATGAAAATAAAGTGTTTGTTCAAGATACGTTAATATAAAATAAAAAAAAATAGTATGAAAAATTAGGTATTTAACTCAAACTAAATGTCAATAAAAACTTGTATAGAAAACCTTTTATAACGTCATGAATAGCGTTGATACTGTAAAATTTTGGATGAAAGCATATAGTAATAATTTTTTGTGTAAAACTTGAATAGTAACCTTAAACAAGCACGTATTTTGAATGCACAAAAATTGCATACTTTATTTTCTAAAATTTTCACAAAATGTAACGGGTGCGACATTTAAACATTTTATTGTATTGAAACTCTTCCGTGTTTATTCTTAATGTTAGCTTCTTAGCATCACAATGTACGAATATTTTAAGGTTATAAATTACGTCGAAATTAAACTATTTGATTTCAGATATAGTTGTTATTTTGTTAAATAACACATCTGATTTTTTGTCAAGGTGGGGTAAGGTTTCGTGGAAATACCCATACCTATGTACATAGGTAGATCCCAAGTACCACAACTGGTTAAATTACTAGCATTTTTGGTAAATTAACCAAAATGTAAGTAATATAACGTTTTTTTAAACTTGTGTTTAAACGAATTACTTGAATTTTAGTTAACCAGTAACATTTTTTTAAGGTTAGGTCCTATGAACTAAATAATAACCCTTTAAATTTACCAACCGGTTGCTATAACCTTAAGGTAAATTCAAAGGTTAATTTTTAAATAATTAGTTTAATTATAGTCAATTTAAATTCTTGAAATAAACTAAATTTACCTGTAAGTAGGTTATTTTAGAATTAACATAACGTTATATTAACTCCTAATTTAGACCTTAATGATTGGACATATTTTGGTTTAGTTTAACTTTTTGGTAAATTCCATAGCTTTGGTTAATTTGTATAGATTTTTTTAACCTACACGATATATTTTACTAAATGTATTTTAACTCGTAGGTAAATTAAAGTTAATTAATAATGCTAATGGTAATTAATAATGGTAATGGTTTTGCAGTTTTCATTGTTACCTGCATAGAAAAAGTAGTCTTAATACAGCTTTATATAGGTATAAACCTGAGTTTTGTGTGATTTTGATTATTTTATGTTTAATAGTATATTAAAGAACTAATGTCATAAGACGTCATTTTGTCGCACGCGGACAATTTATAAAACGAGCGACGAAGGAGCGAGTTTTATAATGGACAAGTGCGACAAAAGGTCTTATGACATGAGTTCTTTATGCTATTTTATCTATTTTGCAAACATTTCATAAAACAAATTAATTTTATACCTTATATTTAATTTGGTGGAATTTTACTTTACATAGTTGGTATCACAATTTGAAGTTTGAAAGGTCATTAACCTTTCAAACATTATCACATTCTTTCGCTATGGCGTCGTTAATTTACAATAAGTATTTACAATAAGCGGCTGTTAAAGAAGAAAAAAGGATTTTCTTTGGTGTTAAACAAAATTTATTGCACGAAAAGTCTCGTAAGTACTAGAAAACAAATCATAAAAATATTATAACCTATAGGTATTCAAAATTGTATTTTACCAGTAGCCAACCTATAAAATCAAAATTTTGGGTGGAATAAAGTCAAAGGCAAAACAAATAATTCTTTAAAATTGTAATTTTCTTTTTTTCTTGTTTTTTTTTTAAGCGCATTTAAAATATAAAAGTATTATGTACTACTTAGGGCCGGTTTATCAATGTCCAGTTAAGGTTGCAGTTAGTCTGTTAGATAATTTCCATGGATACCATTGTTCTCACAACGATCGATATGAAATTTAACTGTCAGATAGACTAACTGGAACTTAACTAGAGATTGATAAACCGGCCCTTAGTCAGAAAAAAATGTCCCATTGGGTTTTCCCTTAAAACTACCAATTGATTTGACATCTGTAAGTCATATCTATAGATATATGTACATAACTAAATAAACTTAAACCGGTTGATTATAGTTTAAGTTAAGAGTTAAAAAATAGTTCAAAGGGGTAAAATAAACCAAAAACCACCAAATATTAACTTCTTTTAACCCAAAGGTACCTACATTAACCAAGAAGTTAAATTTAACTAACATGTCGTTAATTTTACAATAATTTAATTCCCCACTTATTACAAAATAACTTCAATGTATTGTATTACAATATTACTTAACTGAATTAACCAAGCATAAAGTAAATTTAAAGTTAATTTAACCAGTTGTGCTACTCGGGATATCAAATAAAATCACGCCGAAAACATGAAAAGTTTTTATCTCTGCATAAAAACTTTTGATTATTATTTTCCACGACCTTTATTTCTTGGTACACATTCCATTATTCACTCTGCACAGTAACATACGCACTTTTTTAACATTTCCATGTTTAGGAAACCAATGGAGTATCAAATTGCCTCCTCAAACAGTTATTGTTTATGAAACAATAAATAAACAAACGATGAAAAAACATGATGTCACACCGTATAGGAAACCATAAAACCTCTATCAATAACAAAACAATACACGATACTTTGATATCAAATCAAAACGTGCTATAAAAACCGGGATATTTATCAGTTTTCTTTATGTTGTTACAAGTTGTTTGTATTTAAAAAATTTGCCCGTTGGAATTTTGATTTTTCATTATTCTTTTCTATTAATTTGCTAATGCATTTAAACCAATTGGTTTCAATTAACTAATTTACACTATTTATATACATGATTAAATTTAAATCAACACTCTATTTCAATTTTCGTATTATTTGAATAAATTATTATGCAACTCCGAAACCGAATTAATTTCGTTAAAACTTTGAAACCCATTTAAAACAGTTTAAAACGAATAGTTTCAGCGGTGAATTATCTTCATCAAAAACCGTTTTAACGAAATTAATTAGCCAGACCTGATACTTTCATTCATTTACCAAGCCACCTACGTCATTTCATTTCATTCAATTCATTTTAACTGAAATCTCTACTCCTATTGCATAATATTGAGTTTTTCCTGTGAATAATTTAATAAATGTAATAAACATTATAAATTTTCAGCCCAACAACGGGAATAATGAAGTCATTATTTACGTTGTTAGGCATTAGTGATTGGCCAATAATACAATTAAGTTACATTTGACATATCTCAGATTTTATTTATTTATTTTTAAGAATCATTAAATTACCCTCTTATTATTAATAGATAAAGTATAGTATTACACTCGAGATAATGGGCATTATTATCTCTCGTATAATTTTATACTATTAGTACCGTTAACGTTATTATTAAAATAATGATTATATGCTACAAATAAATTAAAAAACATATTTTATTATTGTAAATTAATTTTTGAGCCCTCAAAAACTATTCTTAATTACATTTGGTGTCATTACCTGACCCAAACACTAAATTTCAATTATGGTTTTTGAAGGGTATACCAATAGCTAAATTGCAGACATATACCTGAGCGTTTGTTTACGCTTTTAAAAATAAAATAATCACTAGTGAACTTTCGCTTAATGCCCATATATTTTGACGTTTATTACCAATTATTAAATTTTTAAATGCATATGACACTTTAACGATTCGAGAGGTATAGTTTTAATTTTATTATTTGTCACATATATTTTTGCGCTTGTATTTCATAATAATATTAGTATTCTCAGTAACAACTATAATTACAAGGATTATTGCAGGTAGATTAAGTTAGCCCCCCACGTACAATTTTTAGATGAAATGTTATCTAAAATGTCTTATTGTGCTTCATAAATTTTAAATTTTGCTTCACTTCTCAATAACGGAGCGAAATGGAGCAAAATTGAAAGAATAAGAATCCACGGTCAGAAAAAAATGATGGGGGGCTACCGTTGACTTAGCCCCACCCCCAAGCTAAAATTATATCCAGTCTCTAAAGGGTACTCTCTAAAAATAAATTAGTCAAAAATTACTAATTTAATAGTTATTAGCCATGGCTGCTTTTTCACTTGTACCATGGAATACCATGATATCCCAAAATTTAACAGTAAATTCTTATGTAAAATTGTCCCCTGGATCCGAAAATTTCGTCAAAAGTTAAAAAAAGTAGAACAGTTTT